ATCCTCAAACTGGCCTGCACGGACTTCTCAACTGCAGAGCTGGTTGACTTCATCCTGGCCTTCCTCATCCTGGTGTTCCCGCTCGTGGCCACTGTGCTGTCCTACGGGCACATCACCCTGGCCGTCCTGCGCATCCCCTCGGCCACAGGCCGCTGGAGAGCCTTCTCCACCTGCGCCTCCCACCTCACCGTGGTCACTATCTTCTACATGGCCATGATCTTCATGTATGTTCGGCCCCAGGCTATTGATTCCCGGAGCTCCAATAAGTTCATTTCTGCTGTTTACACTGTCCTCACCCCAATCATCAACCCCTTGATCTACTGTCTGAGGAACAAAGAGTTCAAGGGTGCCTTGAAAAGGCTCTGATCTTAGACCAAGTTTCAAAGCAGCACAATTAAATGTCCTGTAGTCTAATTTGTGATGGTAGTAACATCTTATCTTCCATTTGAGAGTTGTTTGCCTATTCCAATATCATGAAGATATTCTCCTGTGTAACTCCACAAGCTTTGCTGTTTTACCTTTCATGTCTCGATTTATAGTCCACCAGAAATTGATTTTTATTTACAGTATGAGATCTGGGTCAGCATTAATTCTTTTCTATATGTATATGAAGTTGACCGGAACCCATTCTTTGTTTAAAAGACAATGCTTTGCCCTCTGCAAAATCACCCTTTTCATAAACCAAATATCTATTTATTCTCATCTTTTTGGACTCATTTTGTTTCATGGTCTGTTTGTCTATTCATGTGTATTATGTCCTTGATGTCAAGCCCAAGAATTCTTTCCCTAATCCTCAGTCCTGAAGGTTTTATCCTATGACTTTTTTCTAAGGGTTTCATAGCTTTGTCCTTACAATGAAGGGCCATGATCCACTGTTAGTCAGGTTTTGTATAAGGTGCGATGGGCATCCTAAGGTTTGTTGTCCATGGACATCCAACTGCTGTAATGCCATTTACTCAAAAGGCTGTCATTCCTTTGCTGAGCTGCACTGAACCTTTGGAAAGTATCAGTTGACAATACTGGTGCTGATTTATTTCTGATCTCTTTGGCAACCCCTCTCCCAGGACCACTATTAACATAGTGGTCTCTATTAACATAGACGCAGAATAAATCCTCAACAGTGGAGGAATGATCCCTCCCACTTCACTCTTCCTTTTCCGAATGGCTGCTGCTCTTCTAGGGCCTGGACAGGGGAATTTTATTACAAGCTCATCTACATCAATAAAAATCTTGTTGAGACTTTGACAGGACTTGCGTTAAACTAACAAATCAGTTGGGGGAGAATTCTCAGTTTCTCTGTTGAGTCTTCTCATGTTGTGTAGCTTTCAGCATACATATCTTGTATGTTTTGCTAGATTTATACATCTTTTGCTAGATTTATACCTAAGTATTGTATTTCTGGAGCTATCATAAATGGCATTGCCTTCTTTTTGTTTCCACTTGTTTTTTTGTTAGTATATAGAAATGTAGTTGATTTTCACGTTGACTTTGTAACCTGAAATCTTACTGAATTCATTTACTATTTCTAGGAATTTTTTGTAGATTGCTTTGAGTTTTCTACATAAACAATCATGTTACCTACATATACAGATAGTCTTACTTCTTCCTTTCCAATCTGCATATCTTGAAAGTGAAAGTTAGTCATTCAGCCGTGTTCGACTCTTTGTGACTCCATGGACTGTAGCCCACCAGGCTCCTCAGTCGTGCATGTGATTCTTCAGGCAAGAATACTGGAGTGGGTTGCCATTTCCTCCTCCAGGGAATCTTCTAACACAAGGATGGATCCTGTGTCTCTGCCACTGGCACACAGAGTCTTTAATGCTGAGCCACCAAGGAAGCCTGCAGATATTGTAACCTGTTTCTTATTTTAGAAAGATTAGAAGGAAAGCATCAGTCTTCACTATTAAGTATGATGTTTGCTATAGGTTTTTGTAGATTTTTTTAATCAAGTAATTAGTAAATTGTTGCACCTTATGTGATTTCAAGATAATGTAGGTATAATATTTTTGTTACAATAAGTCCCCTACATACAAACATTCAAGATGCAGACTCTCAAAGAGTTGGCCTTGTTTGTGTGTCCAATCACACAAGTAGAACTGTACACAAAGGTTGCAGCAGCCATTTAGAGTGCAAACCAGTGTTACTATGTCATCTATGAAGAGAAAAAAAGAGGTACCATCCAGACATCACTGGATCCTTTTTTTTTCAAGAGGGTGGACTGAACTGAATCCAAGAAGGAAGCAGAACCTGTACCATCCATGTCATGCATGAGTGAAGCAGCAGCTCACCCCCCATCTCCGGTTGCTGACAATCCTTCAGTTCTACCATCTCCCACCTCCTCTGTCTCTTTGTCAGTAACTTTGCCTGTTCAATCCACGCCAGCCCTGTATGCCAACTGTTGGTATATACTACTGTACTTTTCAAGGCACTGTGTGTACTGTCAGGCTAAACATGTTGTTTGTTTTTTATATATTGTGAAAAGTATTATAAAGCTATTACAATACAGTATTAGTCAATTGTGTTAGTTGGGTACCTAGGCTCATCTTGTTGGACTTAGAAATGTGTTCTCAGAATAGAACTCGTTCAAGTGCAGGAGACTTAATGCATTGTGGTTTTCAAAGTACCTCATACTGATCCAGAAAACCCACCTTTCTCTCTTATAAGCTAATACTGAACTTCTGCTCATTTGGTTTCACTGCTGTAGTCAAGTGATTATACAATTGCTCCAACTGAAGCTGGACAGATAGGCTAAAGAATCATAAACTGGGCTCATCTGGAGGGACATTCCCGGGCACACTGCTTCCTCTCCCTGTTTCTGGATATGGAATGGCAGCACTTGGTCATGGCTGGCTGTCCAGATCCCAGAACAAGTATTCATGTGAACCATCTTACTATTAGGGGCATTGAACATTTATTTCTGTGCACCAACAGCTCAACTTACTCTAGATACAAGAGTATTTCTGTTTAACCAAGTAAGTTTTGGTTTTAAACAGGTAGTTGGGGAAACACGATATATAACCAAGCATGCCTTTCTAAAATATTCATCTTAAACCTTAGGGTTGAGTCCTGAGGTCTGCCCCCGTGGATGCCTCCTGTCTCAGATCCGTATCTGGAGGCAGGAACCAGGGAGCAGAGGAGGCCAGGCCTGGAAAGGCCCTTGACAGAAAGGCAGTTCTCAAAACAGAGTGGTGGGTGCGGGGCCAAGGAGACTGACCATGTGATCCCATTTGGGGGAGTTGTTTCCAGCTGGCCCCAGTGGTAAAGAATCTTCCTGCTAATGCAGGAGATGAGGGTTCAATGTTTGGTCCAGGAAGATCTCCTGGAGGTGGAAATGGCAAACAGCTCCAGTATTCTTGTCTGGAAAATCCCTTGGACAGAGGAGCCTGGTGGGCTACAGTGCACGGTTTCACAAAGAGTCGGACATGATTCTGTCTATGTCTCTGTGTCTACTGTGCAAGCACGTGCGCGTGCACACACACACACACACACGGTTGTTTGAAAAAACTTAGGACAGTCATATCCTTAGGACAGTGATATTTAACTTAAGATTACTTTGCTTTCCACTGAGATCTTGCTCTCTTTTTCACTATGCCATCAGCACAAATTTAATAAACACAGAACTTGGTCTTGGGAAGTGATAAGAAGGATGTGTGTTTGCTTGGGTGAAGCAGGAAAGACAACCAAGTGCTGGAGCGAATGCAAACTGGCTAGTGGCACAAGGCCAGAGAACCTGACGGGGAGACGTCCCCACCCTCACCCCCCACCCCCAACTTGTCAGACACACTGGAAAGGCCATGCGGCTTCCCAGACATCATAATGTGGAGCCAGCACTCGGGTAATAAGTGGCGACTCCACCGGGCCAGATGGCTTGGGGCTACCTGGCCACACCTGGTCATCTAACTGTATTTGAGGCACACCTGTCCTGTGAGAGGAGTCTGCTTGGGGCTGAGGGCACAGTGGTGCAGGATCTGGACACGGCCCTTGCTCTCGGACAATGTATGGAGCCACGTTTCTCTCAATGTGGGTCATTCACATCAGAACCAGCTGGAAGCTTGCTAAACAGATTTTAGAGCCCATCCCAGATCTTCTAAATCAGACCCTCCGACTTTGGGGGCTGGGGATCTGAATTCTGAATAAGCAGTTCTCTTACTGGAGACATATCCATTGAAAGGACATTTGTTGTGACAACTGCATGACTATTCTGAAAAGTTGAAAATCGAATGAATGTTAAACAACACTTAGTGTATTAAAAACAATACGCCTGAGGAGGAGGAGGGTGAGGCTTGTAAGACCTTTTCAAATGGCAAGTGTAGTAGGAAAGAACTCTCAAGCACCGTGGGTCGGGAAGGCCGGTTCTGTTCCCGACCCCTCTTCGAGAGCCTCCCTGAGGAGCACGCTTGTCCGGCGTCCGCTCTCACACCTGCCGTCCTTTCACCCCCGGGCCGCCCTCCTAGCCTCCGGTGGTTTGTGAGCTGCGGAGACACTTCCAAGGTGACCCTGAAGTCCGCCCCTGCAGCCCTGGGGAGTCGGGAGGATGGGGTGCTCCCTGGACGCGGATGAGGCGCGGTAGTAACTACCAGGCCCGGGGCGGCTTCAGCTCCCCACACTGCGCCACCTCAAAACCCGCGGCGGGCGGGCCTCCCTTTAAGATCCAGGCGGCGAGAGGACCGTCCCTCAGAACCCAGGCGGCGGTCGAGCCTCTCGGGGACCCGGGCGAGCCTCCCCTAAGGAACCTGGGCGGCGGGAGGACAATTCTTCGGAACTCACCCCTCAGAACTCGCGCGGCGGGCGGGCCCTAAGACGCCAGGATGAGGCGGAGGCAAGATCCCTGGCGGACCAGCCCACAACTGCGCGTTGTGCGCCTGCGCTCTTCGCCTGAACTCGTCAGGCGCGGCGCGGACACCCTGGCCGTGACGTCACGGCGGCGCGCCGACCGCCGGAGAGGACCCCGTCGCGACCGCGTCCCTTCGGGTCCTTGAGCCGGTGCAGACTGCGGAGCCATGGCCTTGAGGCTGCTGAGATTTGTCCCCGTGTCCGCGGCTTCCCGGGGCCTCGCGGCAGTCGCCCCGCGCGTGGTGAGCCTGCGGCGGGCGGGAGCTGCGGGGGCGACCTGTCTTGTCCTTCTGGCGCCGCCCCTTCCTCACCTCCCCGGGCCTCCCAGGACCCTTCCTGGCGGGGGATCCCACTGTCCTCTGAAGTGTCTGGTCGTGCGTTGCGAGGACAGAGCTTGGAGGGGCCGTAAGCTTCTTCAGGCCATTTTCTCTCAGCTCCAAGTAGAAAGTGGGGCACGGAGGTGAATGGGCCTCCTGGCCGCCCTGCTGGGGGAAACCAGTTTACAGCGGTTGTGGGGTGGGCGAGTGAGCAGGTGTGTTGAGCCCGGCCGGGGGCGCGCGCGCTCATTCAGTCAATTCCTGAGGGGGCGCTGTCAGTGGCCGGGTAAGGGGTGAGTGACGGAGAGCAGAAATGGCAGAAGGCGTTCAGGTCAGATCTGGAAGCATTAGGAGAGCTTCTGGAATGACACTGTACTAGGGCCAACAAGACAAGCACAGTGAGTTGCGTCAGGAAAACCACTTTATGACAGTGACTGTGTCATAGCTTCTGTGGCTCCTAGTGACTGGAGGGACGTTGGTGGCAAATTGTAAAGAGACTTGACCTCTGTGCTCAGGATTTTGATGAGCAAAGGTTATTGAACAGAACAGTGCAGTGGTCTTATTAAAAAGCCCTATAAATGTCTTTAGGAGATAATTCAGGCTGCAAAAGAGCAGAAAAAGAGAGAGAGAATTGTGTTTAACACCCAGTATACTTCCGTGCATTAGTGGAAGTGAGAGCCCCAGGATAGAGGGGGTGCTTCTCTGCTGTGGGGTCCTCACTGTGTGGACCCACCTGTGACTGTCCAGTCACATCACTCCCTGCAGGGGATGTAGATGGACTTCAGTAGGTCCAGAGAAAAATGAATAGGATGCAAAGGGTATGCAGCTTGTTATTAGGTTGGTGCAAAAGTAATTGCATTTCACATTGTTGAAATACATTCTTAAATGTGGTTATGTTATACATCATTTTAATGCGCATTTCTCACTTTATGTTTTTTTTGCTAATGACATTACTTCTTGTGTATTTTACATTTATTTTAGACTAGGGAAATGATAGACAAAAAGCAAATTTGAGTGGTTTTTTTATTTGAGTTCAAAATGGGTCGTAAAGCAGTGGAGACAACTCGCAACATCAACGCGTTTGGCCCAGGAACTGCTGATGAACGTACAGTGCAGTGATGGTTCAAGAAGTTTTGCAAAGGAGACAAGAGCCTTGAAGACAATCTCAGTGGCTAGTCATCGGATGTTGACAGTGACCAATTGAGAGGATCATCAAAGCTGATCCTCTTACAACTACACGAGAAATTGCTGAAGAACTTAGCATCGACCATTCTGTGGTGGTTTGACATTTGCAGCAAATTGGAAAGGGGAAAAAGCTCAGTAAGTGGGTGCCTCATGAGCTGACTGAAAATCAAAAAAATCATCATTTTGAAGTGTCGTCTTCTCTTATTCTATGCAATAACAATGAACCATTTTTCTATCGGATTGTGGCATGTGACAAAAAGTGGCTTTTATACAACAATCAGTAATGAACAGCTCATTGGTTGTACTGAAAAGAAACTCCAAAACACTTCCCAAAGCCAAGCTTTCACCAAAGAAAACATCATGCTTACTGTTTGGTGGTCTGCTGTCTGTCTGATCCACTATGGATTTCTGAATCCTGGTGAAACTACTGCATCTGAGAAGTATGCTCAGCAAGTCGATGAGATGCACAGTAACTGCAGCACCTGCAGCTGGCACTGGTGAACAGAATGGGCTCAGTTCTCCATGACAACACCCGGCTGCACATTGCACAACCAACACTTTAGAAGTTGAACGAATTGGGCTACAAAGTTTTGCCTCATCCACCATATGCGCCTGACCTGTCGCCAACCAACTACCACTTCTTCAAGCACCTTGATGACTTTTTGCAGGGAAAACACTTTCACAACCAGCAAGAGGCAGAAAATGCTTTCCAAGAGTTCACTGAGTCCCAAAGCATGGATCTTTACCCTGTAGGAATAAACAAACCTATTTATTGTTGGCAGAAACATGTTGATTGTAATGGTTCCTATTTTGATTAACAAAGATGTGTTTGAGCCTAGTTATAATTATTTAAAATTCACTGTCCAAAACCACAGTTACTTTTTCATCAACCTAATACTTGAGGAATAATTTAAGAAATTGGAAATGTGTTATGAAAGATTACTATTCCATGTGATTCCACAGAGCAGAAAAAAGGGACTGAGGATAGGAAATTACAGAAAGACTATCATAAATGTAAAAAAGCACTTTCCAAAGATTTTGAAGTCAGAATGGCTGATAGCTTTCTACAGATGTTACCGTGCACCTGCTCTGTGCTACATCTTGTGGTGTCTTCAGGTTGGGGACATGGATAAGGAGCAGTTTGCACATGGCTCAGAGGTAGCCTGGAGGAATGAGTGAGTGAAAGTCGTTCAGTTGTGTCCGACTCTTTGTGACCCAGTGGACTACAGTCCATGGAATTCTCCAGGCCAGAATACTGGAGTGGGGAGCCTTTCCCTTCTCCAGGGGCAAGAGTGATTGATTTCCAGGATGCAAGGTACCAATATGATTAACCCTCTCACTTGTCTCCTCTGCTACTCTTCCCCCGTCCAGTCCCCTTGGCACCAGCTACCTTGGCCTTGCTGACCCTTGCAGTGCTCTAGCCTCAGAGCATTGATGCTCACTGTTCCTCTTCCCAGATGCCCATGCCCTTACTGCCTTCCAGTCTTTCTTCAGACGTCAATCTCTGTAAGAGTTCTGTGACCACCCGTTTTAATGTACATCCCATTCTTTGCACTGTGCTCCCTCCGTAGCACTCACTCTATAATTTCTTTTTTGCTTTGTTATCCTGTGGGATCTTTTTGACTCACTGCTATATCCCCATATCCTGTCTAGGAAAAGGACAGGATGGTATGGGAATCAAGAAATAGTCGTTGAATGAATAAATGAATGAATGACTGACACGCAGTTGGCTGCTAAGTGAATTAGGATTCTCGGTTGTTGGGATTTGAGACTTTGGGGATACGGAGACTACCCTGCCATTTACTAAGCTGGTCTCCTGTCGATGGGCCTTTGGGTGGTTTGTCTTTTCAGGCGTTACCTCTGGAGCATTGTGATACCTATCGTTCTGCCCATTGGCTTCCTGTGGCTGCAGTGGTTTCTCAGGTTCTCCTGTGTCCGAGGCCTCCAGCAGGAGGGCAGTACTGGGCGGGTAGTTTGTCCCTCGGTGGGACTCGCCTGATATTTTCTCATGACTAGACTGGTTGTGTGTTCTGGGGAGGAAGCGCAGAGGTCAAGTGCCGTCCTCCCCACGTACTATGCAAGGTACGCTGTGACCGTGACTTGTCACTGTCGACCTTAGTCGCCTGACTGGGGTAGCGGCAGTGTCTCTGCTGTGAAGTTGCTCTTTCCTCCCTGCTTTCCGTTGAGTCCTCTTTGGAGGGAAGTCACTGCGAGCAGCCCACACCCAGGGAGTGGGGATTATGCTCTGTCCGCAGGGCAGAGTATCCGCATGAATTACCTGGAATTCTGTTGTGCGGGAGGCTCCTCTCCCTTGCACACTTATATATTTCTACCAGTGTGGGCTGTGCATGTGTTGTATTTTGGGCTAACACTCGGTGCAGCGGTACTGTGTTGCTCAGGCTGTTCGGCTGTGGCCACTGGGCGCTTGTTCAGGTGGCTCCTGTATCCCTGCAACCTGCCCCCCCCCCCCCCCCCCGCTGTGTGTGTGCGCACTTCCTTAGAGGGTAGCCGTGGAATCAGCTGTTTCTCCAGGAGCCCTTGCTCCTTTGACTGGAGGACAGCGTTAGAAGCAAGATCTAGGTGCCCGGCGTAATTGATCCTGGGGTGTTGTTGCTCTGGGCCCTTCTGGCAGGCAGCAGGGGAGTCCAGCACATGCGCCTCTGAATGCCTGTGTGGTGCCCTGGTCTGCAGTGGACCGGACGTGAGCTCACACCGCTGCCTCTCGCTCTAGCCCAGAGCTGCACGGGCACTCCAGCTCCTCCCTGTGCTGGCCAGTGGGGCTTTTTTGGCGGGGGGAAGTGGTGAGGCGTGGTGTTTGAGTTTCAGTGTGGAGAATAGATCCAGATGCTGGAGACAGGAGAAGCAGGCAGGGGATGCGAGATGGCCGCGGTCAGTGTGCCGAGGGGAGGGAGGGGCCGCTGGCCAGAGACACCTAAGGGCTGGGGTCAGTGGGGTTGTGTGCGTGATGATGGAGCTGGAGGAAGGAGGAGGAGGTCACAGGTGACTCTTGCCTTTGTTCTCCTTGGGGGATGGTGGAGGGGAACTTGAGAGTGGGAGCAGATGGGGGTCAGGTGTGGATGCTGAATTTCAGTTTTAGGTCTGTTAGCTTTCAAGTACTTTCAGGACATCAGGAGCTGCTGAAAAACATGAGATAACCCATTCCAGAGACAGAGGCCTGAACCAGAGAAATGTTTTCTGTTCCCTTCTTCCCTGCCTCCCCTCCAGCCTGCCTTTCTTTTGTTCATACACACACACACCACACACACACACACACACACACAGTTTTTATTGAACAATGTAGATGTGTCCTGTTCCAGGCCCTGAGGATTTAGCAGTGGTCAAAACAATCTCCTGCCTTTATGAACTTATGTTCAGGGTGGGGCTGGAAGATGGTAATTAAACTAATAGTTTATAAAGATGTCAATGTTGGTGTTTTTGTCACCGAGGGTCTTCTTGGCATTAATGTCTAATAGTTGCTAATGCCTGCTGTAACCAGGATGCTCACGTGGTGATGTGTTATGTGTGTTTTTCAGGGAGGAATTCATACAAGTGTCCAGTGCAAGCTGCAGTATGGCCCATTGGCGTTCATACTTGGTGAAAGAACAACCAAAAAGATGACAGCAAACAGCAAACTGATAACTGTGGATGGCAATATATGTTCTGGAAAAAGCAAACTTGCGAAAGAAGTAGCCGAGAAACTAGGTATGAGCTTGTGTTATGCAGGTAAACAGTCCCTTATCTGGGTGTGATTTTATTTTCATATTGAGTAGGTAGAATTGGGCCGAAGGTAGGTATTTTACATTTTTGAAATACTTGTTGAAAAAGCTGTTTTTAATCTTCCAGATAAGGGAAATTTTTGAAGTCCAAGCTGGTTGCGAGTTTGGACTGGGATTTTATGTTGACGATGTAAGCTGAACACGTTCATGTGAGCAGTCTCACTTGTGTAACCGCCCCTGGAGCAGGGCCAATGGTCCCCTCTCACTCACAGACATGTTCCCTCAGTAGGAGGTGGTGGCACGCAGCTGCATGGTGCAGAGCCAGCTGTCACCCTGGTTCTGACTCTGGGCCAGTGTTGTCCAAGCCCCTTCTCTAGTTTTTGAGGGGCCAATGCCCATGTGCATGCAGCAGACGCCCACACGTACGGGCGGCTCTCCCTCTCGGGAGGAGCTCACACAAGGCTGCGGGGGACCTGCTGTCCTCAGCCCTGGGCACACGTTGTCTCCAGGGTCTCGTGTGTTCCCGTCTATGCACCAGGAACGCAAGCATCAGGGTAACTTTCCCCAGGTCTCAGCCGACTGGCCGCAGGGACGATGTTCAGCTGGGTCTCCGCTGCTCTGCGGGGTGTGACGTCCCCGCATCACGTTTCGTCTGGTGGCTTGTCTCTTCAGGCCTGAAGCACTTTCCCGAGGCGGGGATCCACTACGCAGACAGCACCACAGGGGACGGGAAGCCCCTGCCTGTGCAGTTCAGTGGCAACTGCAGTTTGGAGAAGTTTTACGACGACCCGAAAAGCAACGATGGCCACAGCTACCGCCTGCAGGCCTGGCTGTACGCCAGCCGTCTGCTGCAGTACGCGGACGCCCTGGAGCACCTGCTGAGCACAGGTGCGTGTCCCTGCGCGGACAGCTGTTGGGCGCAGGCTGCGCTCGGGCCCCTTCTGGAGTTGTCGTTCTAGATTGCCTCTCTTAGAGCTGTGTTTAAGGGGTATTTGATGAGGCAAGTTCTGGCTTTCCAATTAGATCATACCTGAGATCCATGATGGTGTGGTGCGGGGCTGACCCTGGGATGGGGGCGGGGAATCTACATTTCAAAAACCAGTGTCCTTTCTCTGTTAGCTGATGTTTCTGTTGGATCTGTGAAAGAGCGAAACAGAACATTGTATTTCTGAAGTGGATAAGTATTCTAGTTTTAGAAAATGATTTTCCGCTTAGAAGTGCATATATGATGTGTGTTCTTTTGAAGATGTTTGGTATGGAAATGGAGTTGTAAATAACTTTTTTCCATTTCTAAAGTGAACAGACTGATTTTCACTGCTGTAATTATTTTCTGATTCTGATTTTTGTTTCCACGTTTTCAAACAGGACAGGGTGTGGTGTTGGAGCGCTCCATCTACAGTGATTTTGTCTTCCTGGAGGCAATGTACCGCCAGGGCTTCATCCGGAAGCAGTGTGAGTCGGCGGCAGGCTGGCCTTGTGGGCACAGGGGTGGCTTTCTAAAGGTCCTGCTACACCCACCCTGCAGCTGGCACATGTTCTGTGAATGTCTGTTGTTAATAAGTAGATGAATGACGCTGTTCCTCAGGAAAAGCCAGTCCCTGTCCGCCTCTTTCCCTCCTGAAGTCTTCTCTCCCCATGAGAGCACAGTGGAGAGCCTCAGCAGACAGTCTCACTGAACGGCCTGTCCTGGAGCCTCCCTGCCTGCAGCCACCACGGCTCATTCCTGGTTCTGTGAAGGCCGCCGCCTCTCCCTCGTGCTGTTCTGGTGCGTTCAGTGACAGCAGCACTGGGTGGTGAAGGTCTGACAAGTGGCCAGTAGACACGGAGAAAGGCTCCTGGTTGCAGTTAACCTGGCCACGAGGAGCGAGGGAGCCCGGGGAGCGGCTGACCGCGTGGAGATGGGGTGTCGGGGGCAGCGCCCCTGAGCAGAGAGCCTTGGGCGAGCCACGGTGCTGCCCTCGAGGGAGCGGCATGTGCTGCGGGCGCTGGCGAGGCTCAGAGAGGGGCCCGGTGCTGGGGGTGGGGGCGCACAGGGGGTGAGCCCTGGGTTCTTCCTGAGAGTGCAGGGGACCCCCTCGGGGTTAGGCGAGGGAGACGTGTGGTTCAGTTTGAGATCGTTTGTCTGAAGGATGTGTTCAGGGAAGGGAGGTCTAGAAGGAGACCCTTGGCAGGAAGTTGGGGTTGGACCAGGCACCACAAGAGGAAGGTCCGCAGCGGGCGGTGCAGCATCTGCTGGGCCAGAGGCACCAGGACGTGCCCATGGCGAGCCTATGGGAGAGGAAGAGTGGACCCACCGGGCCGATGGGGCTACCCATTGCACCTCCCATGCAGCCAAGACGTGTGCAGAGCAGGCCTGCAGAGAGCTCTGAAAGTGAAGTGAGAGTGTCATTGGCTGGGCTCAAATCCCAGTGTCTGACTTTGGATTATTCTTGTTTAGTCGCTCAGTCACATCTGACACTTTGAGACCCAATGGACTGTAGCCCACCAGGCGCCTCTGTCCATGGGATTCTCCAGGCAAGAATCCTGGCATGGGTAGCCATTTCCTCCTCCAGGGGATCTTCCAGACCGAAGGATCAAACCTGCATTTCCTTCATTGGCTGGCGGGTTCTTGACCACCGGGCCACCAGGGAAGCCCTTGACTGTGGGATAGTCAGCTAGTTCCGGTGGCCTGATGCTGTGGTCTGTGGTGATAGGGGAAGCACTGCGTGGAGGGTGACTGTGGGTGCCGTGTGCCAGCGTGATGTGTATGCAGCCGGCGGTCGTGGCCGTGACTGACATGTGGCTGCAGGATGGCGTGCAGTCTGAGAGCTGCCTGTGCCCTTGCCCCCTGATCTGAGAGGGACGTGTGTCTGCAGCCTGTCTGGACCACTGGCTGACAGCTGGGGCTTCTCTCCCGCCAGGTGTGGACCACTACAACCAGGTGAAGAAGGTCACCATCTGTGAGTACCTGCCCCCCCACGTGGTCGTCTACGTGGACGTGCCGGTCCCCGAGCTCCAGAGCCGGATCCAGAAGAAGGGAAACGTAACTCAGCCTTCCTGTCCTAGACCCGCCTCTCTGTGTCGGCCTTCACGGTGGCGGTGTTCACACGTGGTGGAGACTGGCTCACTGACGGCCCCCACGGGGGCCTGGGTGCACGCGTGCCTGCCCACGGCTGCTGGTGTGGTGGACTGCAGGCGGTCCTGCTTGCTCCCTGCTCCCCGGGGCCCCCTGGCCCAGTGCACTCTGCCCTGCTCCCCGTGCCTGTGTCACCTGAACACAAGTGACCCTGAGGACACACGTGCCTCCTGGCGGGACCTCCCTTTCTGCTTTCTGTGGGCTTCTCATGCTCTGCTGCTTCCTGCAAGTGGAGAATGGTCTCTGACACCCTTTGAGTTTGCCTCTTAGGTCTAACGGGGTTGGGCCCCTCGTCCTCTTTCTCCTGCTCAGTGACTCTGTGACCCCAGAGAGGGATCTCCACACACATCCATTCACTGCCTTAGTGGTGCTCAGACAGTCGGTCTTGGAAGCCCTGCAATTTGAAGTTGGTCCTGCCAGCGGGGTGCAGGGTGACCAGGCCCGTTGTTGCCCTTACAACTAGGCGTTGTTGGAAAGATCACTCCCACTGAGAGTGTTTCTTCATGGGAGGAAACACTGTCTTTTTGACACTGTGACGACAACAAGGACTTAGGCCTGTGTATCTGTTGTCCCAGAGTCTGTCCTGGGTGCTCACGTGGGTGCTCAGCCAGTGCCTCTCAGGGCTGTTCCTCTCCAGGGCGGCAGAGATGCTCAGGCGCCCTTGACGCGGCTCAAAGAGCCTGTGGTCACTCTCTCCCTCCCCCGATCGGCAGTGAGCAGGCTCGGGATACCGGGTCTCTGCCGGTGACCTGGCTGCACCTTGGAGCTTTTACTCCTGAGTGTGCCTGTGGTTTATACTTTGGAGAGTGTTCCACCTGGTGGCCAAAGAAGGGAACTACAAGTCAAGTATTTATCACTTTAGGGAACACTTGCTTATTAACGTAACATTTACCAAGAAATAGGAAGTTGTATATTAATATTTACAGTTCTCTAGATAACTCTTGTTATCTGGATAGCAGTATTTCAGAGACAATTTAGAAGAACATATTAGACCTATTAACATTTTTGTTTTCCAGTACTTGATGAATAGTGTCACCAGCTAAAACTACCACTGTGTCTAAGAAAAGGAGACATTTTATCAAAGAAACATCATGTCATTATTAGATGTGTATTCCTATGGTGGATACTAATAGTAAACAAGGAAATAAAACATGCAAATGCCACGAAGAATCTTGAACATGGTGAAAGATAATCTAGCCTTCAGCATTGCTAAACTAAGAGGTTTTCAGTGTAGAAAGTTGCCACTCATGATTGGAAGTGTACATTTCCGTACTTGGCAAGCTTCATGTGAAAGGGAAGTGAGATTGGGAGGGTGGGAGGGGTGGGGTGAGTGGTACGGCAGGGGTGGGGAGCCAGTTGGTGACAGGAGGGTGTGAGGATGGGGAAGAGGTGGGCCCTCCCCGGCTGCAGCCTGTCATCTCTCAGTCCCCGCACGCAGGCATGTGCAACAGGGGCAGGCGCTGTAGCCGCTCGCAGTCACATCTCAGAGTCTGGGAAGAGAACGTCGCACCCCAGGTCTCCCTGGGCAGACTCCCGCCCTCTGTGCGCAGGAGGGGGACTGTTAGAACTGGCACTGCAGCCCCTTCCTGTCACCTCCAGCGCCTGCAGCACCCCACACGAGTCGACCTGGGAACAGTTTGTTGGTTGATTGTCTCACACTTTACGTAAGCACGGGAGAAAGAAAGGAAGTCTGGACGTTTCCCACATTTGCTTTCTGCTTTCATTTAGCCACATGAGATGAAGATCACCTCCGCCTACCTTCAAGACATCGAGAATGCCTATAAGGGAGCCTTTCTGCCCGAGATGAGGTGAGCGGGGGCGCAGTGGGTTTATGAGCCAGCCAGGAGCCCTGCACACATGGCCCCCCAGCCCAGGGAGCACGTCTTGTTCATTGCTCTGGGTCTCACCTGGGGAGATTCAATCTGACGTTTATAAGCAAAAGCGACCGCAGACGTTTCAGTTTGATTTGGTTGGCTGGGAGTTGATTTGTTTTATTTATTTAGCCAATATTTATCTTGTCATATCTTTAGACTGTTTTGATAGTAGAAGTGAATTGAAGCTGTGTTCAGTGACAGGTTTTAACATTAGAGAACTCATGTTTTCACTCTCGGTGGCAACTGAATGGCCACGTTTACCTAGAAAGGTTGTCTGGAGGGACTCCATGAGTCCACACACAGGATGTGAAGGCTCAGCAGCGCCTGTCGGTCCTTTTGAAAGCTGATGCTTAAGGAGCATTTGGGTTCAGTGGGAACGCCCAGGGCCCCTTTCCAGCTTTCTTCTCCCCTCCCTCCTCCTTCAGTGAGAGCACCGAGCCCCACTGTCTCTGCCCGGCCATCCTGTGGTCCTTCCGTGTCAGGCACACGGCAGTCATTGCCTGCCGTCACGTCCAGCTACAGTTAGGATGTTTCAGTAATGCTGTTAAGGTTTCTAGTAGAATTTCTTAGACTTTTAGGAAACGTAAGCCTTTTTTGATACCTGAAAATGTTTTGCTCTTGTTATTTAACATTTCAAAGTAACTATGAAATTGTGAACAAGGTATTGTCTAGCAGTTTTGGAAGAGCAGTTTTAGAATGTAATTTTTTAGCTGTAAGCCAGTGCTTGCTTGTGATCAGCTTTTCTCTCATGGGTAGTAGAAACAAAGCACTGCTCTATTTTCAAGGCCAGAAGTGCAGAAAGTTTTGTGAATCTTGCCGGGGCAGATATGTAGAGGTGTCAGAGAGAGGTGGCTGACCCTAGACTCTCAGTTCCAAAGATTCTTCGTGGAGATCTTCCGGCTGCAAAGTCACTGCTGAGCAAAGGCTTCCCAGCCAGTCCCAAATAGGACGTTGAGCTGTGCCGTCAGGAAAGGAAGTCTTAGATTCGGCTTACAGATGAAATAAAGTTTTTCTTGTACCTGGCATTTAATTTTGAAGAACTCACCCTGGGGGCCTCCTGTTGGTGAAGTGTCCAGCAGGGGTTCTCAGTGTCCACTGCTTCGTCCAGTGCTCCCGCGCGCTCTGTACCTGAGCTGAGCGGGGACTCCGCTCTCACCCCGACACGGGCCCGGGCTCCCGAGGGGGCTGCTTTGTGTCCTGCTGCAGGTCAGACAGCCTCCTCCTCTGCAGTGAGCCCAGCCCCGCCCTCCCTCTGGTGGCTGGTGACTCCCCCGTGGAGCCAAGAAAGTTCACATCCTTGCCCAGCAGGGCAGACGGCCAGACCCTGGGCTCTCCAAAATTATAGCAGCTCAAGTAATATGTCCCTCCCACCACCCCTTCTGCCCCACCCTCCCGAACCCCCTCGGCTGCCCTCCGTGTGTCCCAGTGCGGCCCTGGGCCCCCCTCTGCCCTCCTGTGGCGCGTGCTGCCGCTGCTGGTGGCTGTGTGGCCCTGGGCCCCCCTCTGCCCTCCTGTGGCGCGTGCTGCCGCTGCTGGTGACTGTGTGGCCCTGGGCCCCCCTCTGCTCTCCTGTGGCGCGTGCTGCCGCTGCTGGTGGCTATGTGGCCGCGAGGCTGACCCGTGTCCCTGCCCCGTAAACATGGGCCTCCTGCCTGTGCGGTGGGGGCGGTTCAGTCAGAGGAAGGTCAGAAAACAGACCTGCAGCTCCTACCATCCAGCCTCGGGTGCAGGCCTGCCTCAGGTTTGCTGTTCTCAGCCAGCCCTGCCCTGAGAGCCAGCTCAGAGAATGCAGGTGTTTGTGTTGAGAGTGGGCTCCGCGCCGTCTTGTGTTCATTGTGCAGTGACAGCCACTTGGAAGGCTCTCGTGAGATGCCGTCTTGTCTTCTCTTACAGTGAGAAGTGTGAGGTTTTACAGTACAGCGCGTGGGAAGCTCAAGATGCAGAAAAGGTAAGAAAATGGCTGAAATTTTATAATTTTTCTTAAATGTAACTCCTGTATAGGGTTTTTGCAAACCAAATGACGAGTTCAGCTCCTCCTAATGTTAGGAGCATCTGTGTTTCATGATCTGACATAAGTGCCCCGCCCCCCCATCACATTTCTCTGAGCGTGATGTTTTGATTTTTCCTTTAAATTATTCACTTGCTAGGATCTTAAAATTATGGAAGGGTGAAGATGCAAGGAATTTTGGGTTATCTGCACCAGCATTTTTGTTAAACACATGGTAAAATTGAGCATTGGATTAGTTAATAGGAAAGATTTATTCAGACTGTCAGCCCTTGAACAATAGGGGTTTAAACCGTGAGGGTCTGCTCTTACGTGGATTTTCTCAGTGTAAACCCTCCACTGCTGCAGCATGAGGATCTCAGTAGGAAACACGGTGACGCCTCACGGCATCAAGGATGTGGAGGAACCACTGTCCACGCACAAGGAGGCCCGCCTCCAGGTTGGGCTTGGGTTTCGACTCTGGATCGTGTTGTTTGGAGTCGACCACATTAAGACGCCAGGTTTCCCCCAAGTAGTGGGTGCAGCTCACCCTCTGCTATTTTCAGGAGAACTTGAGGAATCAGAACATCTGGAAAGGCAGCTGGTAGGAAGCTGGTATGTGACACAGGGAGCCCAGCCTGTCTCTGTGATGACCTGGAGGGTGGGACGCAGGGCCCGGGAGGGAGGAGGGGTTCACACAGGTACGGGGATTCTCAGTGCTGTGCTTCAGAAACTAGCACGGTAAGAAACCAGTAAGACAGTTATCCTCCAGTTTAAAAAGAGCTTTTGAAAATAATATTTTCCTTCCCAAATGTAAAAACATATTACAAAATTATGGTAATGAAGGCACTGCAGTAGGAATAAAAGAAATAATAGTTTAACAGAGTCCAGAAACAGGTGCGTGTGTGTGCTCACTGTTGGAAAAGTCAGTGCTTTAAATGATGATAAAAATAGAAGAAACTGGATTATCTCTTAAATGGTATTGAGGCAAATGACCATCATTTGGTTAAAAAAAAATCCCATATTTTATATTATGTATTAAGTATCAATTGAAAAGTGAAAGTGAAATCACTCAGTCATGTCTGACTCTTTGTGACGCCAAGGACTATAGAGTCCATGAAATTCTTCAGGCCAGAATACTGGAGTGGGTAGCCTTTCCCTTCGCCAGGGGATCTTCCCGGCCCAGGAATTGAACCGGGGTCTCCTGCATTGCAGGCGGATTCTTTATCAGCTGAGGTAACAGAGAAGCCAATTACTTATGTTAAAAAGTTTAAAAATTCTAAAAGAAAGCCCAGGTTTTTTGGTCTGGAGTTGAGGAGGTGGTGACACCACACAGCTTTGCAGAGGTGGCAGCTTCAGTGACAGCAGAGCCTCAGCTCTGCCCCCGGGCGAACCGAGGGCTTGGAGCAGAGGGCGTCGGGGGCGCGGGGAGCGGAGGCAGCGGGGAGAGAACAGGCCCGTCTCCACGGTGGCGGGGACCCACGCTCCAGTCGGCTCTGGCCGCGCTCAGGGTTCCCTCAGGTGCTTTCTGCCTGGAAACGGGGCTGTTCTGTCTGTGATGTCGGGTTCTTCATGTTCAGGTGATCTCTCTTCCTCTGGCAGAGGGTTTACATGGCATGAGTAGTGCGTGTTCTCTGAGACCGCCTTATCATTGGCGTTCATAACTGAATGTGCTCACGTTCTTAGAACCTAAAGAGGTCCCCGAGTTTGGCGTGTTTTGGGGGAGAATGTGTCTGAAAAGCCGCCCCACTGGGCGGTCAGGCTGTCCAGACTGCAGGCTGAGGAATGTAGGTTCTTGGAACTCTAGGAAGTGTGTGTATTCTCTTGTCCTGTTGTTGCTTTAGTGGCTGAGACTTGCCTCCTGGAGTCAAGTTGCGTAAGAGGAAATGAATCTGGAGGAGGGCTGGCTCCCCTCCCATTTCCAGCCTGCCCACGCCCCACGCTTGCCCTGTCCTCCCAGCCTTCGGGGAATTGCCACACCACCGAGGGTCAGCCGGCCCAGCGCCCACATGGGGTCGCCCCTCAACCCCTCACTTCCCTGAAGGCTGACCTGCTCTGTTTCTGACTCTTAGGGCATGATCCTTCCAGCCGGGGGGTCTGGTTTGTCGTGAGCTGAGTGTCCTCTGTTAAGACCTGTGTTAAATCCCTGAGCGCAGGTGGTCGAGGATATTGAGTACCTGAGGTACGACAAAGGCCCGTGGCTGGATCAGAACGACCGCAAATTGCACAAGCTGAGGATGCTGTGAGTCCTGGCGGGGTGGGGCGGGGTGGGGGCGTGACCTGGGCAGAGCGGGGCGGGATGGGGGAACGGGGCCCAGGTGGGGAGTGACCAGGGTGGAGGCAGGCAGGGGCGCCAGAACCTGGGCTCTCAGAACTCTCCGCAGGTGGCTCCTGTCTTCATAGTGAGATGAGAGACAGGTCATGAGTCCAGAGTGGCCGCGAGGGCGGGAGGCTGTGCTGGAGGCTTGAGGACGGAGGAGCGGTCCGGGATGCTGTCTGGGGGTGGGGAGAGGGCTGTTGGGTGGCTGCGGTGCCGGTGCCTGGGACGCGGGGGGTGGGAGGGAAGGCAGAGCTCTGGAGGCCGGACCTGTGTGATGAAGGGTTTAACGGGGAGGAGCTCTGTGGGCTCACGGGGGAGAGATCAGAGCCACTCGTGAAAGAAGGCTGGGAAACCCAAGTCAGACTGGACCGGATCATGGGCGGGTCTGCCCCCAAGGGAGCAGGGTTAGAGTTTATTGCTGGTTCTTCCAGTCTTGCTTAAAGTGTTTGCATGTTCTATATTTCTAAATAAAAATTATCCTGCATATGTCTTTGTATGGTGACTCTTAACATGAGCATGTCCCTATTTTTGTTAAATATTTAAAAATTCATTTTTTAAAAGGCTACTCACGCTGCATAAATCCTCTGAATGACGCAGGTCAGGGTGGGGGACCATGGCCTGCGGGCCTATCCAGGCCTCAGCTGCCAAGAATGGTCCTCACAGTTTTTAATGGATTATAAGAAAAAGAAGGTACATATATGAAGCTATATGTAGGCCTCGCAGCCTGAAATACTATCTGGCCCTTAACAGAAAAAGTTGATCTCTGAGATATAGGCATAGTCCTTTTTGTTTCTTTAATATCAGTCTTTTAGGTTATTTTCACTTCTTCATATTAATAATAACAGTAATGAGCATATTGTACTTATTTTCATTCCATTTCAGTTTACTTTCCTAAAATATGAAAGTGGAGTTATGGGTCAGATTATGTGAACACGTTTTATGGCTACTGTGTGTTGTGAATTGTTCTCCAGAATATGTGTGCCAGCTTGCACTCTTGAACCTGTATTCTGGAAGTCCTTTTTTTCTCTTTCCTTATTTTTAGTTTCCTTGACATCTATTCCACTTTTTATTATTATTTTTTTTAATTTGCTTCCTTTAGACTTCAATTGTTCTTCTTTCTCCAGTTTCCTAAGGTAGAAGCTTAGGTGATTGGTTTTAGATCTTTCTTCCTTTCTAATGTATGCATTTGATGCTATAAATGTTCCTCTAGTTTAGTTCTCTTGTGGTCTGAGAACACAGTTCTGTGATTTCAGGTCTTTTGCATTTGTTAGGGTGTTTTATATGGTTGGGGAGGTCTTGTTTGGGGTCCTGGTGGGGTCATTGCCTCCTCCTCTGGGGTCATGTGCCTAAACCCACCTTTTTCCTCCTAACCCTGCCCCTTTCCCGGATCCTGCCCTCAGGGTGGGGGTGCAGCCCCTGGTTCTGGATCTCTGCTTCCCGTTCATTGTTCTTCATCCCACCCATCCCTGTGTGTCTGCCCGCCAGCTAATCTTCACGAGTGTCACAGTGACCCTGTGTTTCCTTTACTCAGAACCTTTCCGTGGCGTGACTGTTCAGGCGTGAATCCAAGTTCCATTTCCCAGAATTAATTCAGAGTCCTCGTCGTCTGCTTCTGCCTCTGCCATCAGGATGCAGACAGTCTCCTGAACCTGTCTCCTCCCCACCTGCCCAGTAATTCCCTCAAGACCTGCGCGTTCTCCTGACCACGCTCTGTGCACCTTCTTTTCTCCTTATGCCCTTCTGACGTTTCCTGGCTTTCGTTTGACGTGGGTGTGTGTGTGAGTCTTGTCAATACCAGCTCCTTCTGGGCACAGGACATGAAAAACATGTCCACACGGTGACTGTCCTGGCGCCCTGACATCCTGCCAAGACTGGGTGACATAGGGTAACTTTTCACTTCTTCATCAATGGTATTGCTTTTTCCTTCTCCCAGTTTTTTCTCCTCTGCCTCCCAAGGATAATTCATAACAATTTACAATGGTAATTCTGCTTATTTTCACTTAAGTGCCATTTCTTAATGTGGGAGACTCAAGCGAAATTATGACCATTTTCTAAGATAATTATAGTAAACCTGCCATTTACCAGCTATACTCGTTTTGTTCAGAACCTAACCAGATGATTGGTTTAGGGCATTTTTTTACATCTCAGGATGTGTGTCGGTGTGTAATCTTGTATGTGTGGGGACCTGTCCAACCTTGATAGCGTTTTGTGTTCGCATCCGTAGTCCGTGACTGACCACTGCTGCCCTGCTTGCTTCACTTTTGTGCTGGGGACGCGTTCCCAGTCAGGCCTTCTCCACGTGGGACTCAGGGCCCGCCTCCTCCAGAGCTGGGGCTCCCTTCTTGTTCATCTCTGGGACGTGTGTTTCCTATGACTTCTGGAGGATGTCTTTCTAATACGGAATCCCAGTGCTACGAAAACTGGAGGGTAGGAGTTGGTATCAGAGTGTAGGGTTTCACACAGAACTCTGCCATTCAGGAGAAGCTAAAAGATAGACATGTTTTAGGAGAAAGTGTAAGCACTCCGCTGATCGGGAAACAGATGAGTCGCAAGCCATAATTTTCTGTTTTTCTCTTTCCCTTCGGCCTCACTGTTGTTTGGAGTTGTGTGGCAGAGCCCTGGCTTTGTGAACCGGGCCCGGGGACGCTCTGTCTTCTCACGGGGACACCTTGGCCTGTGACGTGAAGAGGCCGTGCCAGCAGTGTCTCAGTCTCCTTCAGTAGACTAAATACCCCGTGCACAGAATGCTTTCTCTCCCCGCATTAGCTTCCTGAGTCACAAAATGCATCCTGTTGTGTCCGTTCCCCGCTTATCTTCAGTCTGGAATGTGTCTGTAGTTTCTGGAGACTGAGAGTTGGGTTTACGGGAGATGGGCTCCTTGGGCTCTTCTTAGTCATCACCGAAGCTCATAGAGAGTGAAAGAGCAGTTTAGACAAGTTTGAATATGTGGTAGAACAGTCTCTACAGATTATTTTTTTAATCTTCAAAAATAGTTTGAAGATATTTGTTCAAAGATACACCCTCTTTGAGAGCTTCTTAGGTGGCTCAGTGGTAAAGAATCTGCCTACCAGTGCAGGAGAGGCTGGTTCAGTCCCTGGGTCAGGAAGATCCCCTGGAGAAGGAAATGGTGACTCACTTGAGTACTCTTGCCTGGCAGATCCCATGGACAGAGGAACAGGGGTAGGCTATGGTCCATGGTGTTGCAAAAAGAGTCTGGGCAGGACTTAGTGACTAAACACCACCCTTTTTGTAAGGGGGTGTGTAAACTGTAGTTCTTCCAGATTAAATGTAGGTGGCGCTGTTGGTCTCTGTTACACACGGTCCTAGGCCAGTTTGTTCTTTTCAATTTTTCAGTATGTTTTTAGGTTTCAAACTATAGAGAAAACCAAACCATACCCCAGTTTGGTATTTATTAACATTTAAAACACAAGATTCATTTTTATATGAAATTGTTTACAGTGAGATCACTTTAAAAATTATCCTTACTATATAATAAGTATTGGAGAAGGAAATGGCAACCCACTCCAGTATTCTTGCCTGGAAAATCCATGGACAGAGGAGCCTGGCGGACTACAGTCCATGGGGTCGCAAAGAGTTGGCCATAACTGAGCACATCAGCATATAATAAGTATAGAATAATTCTATTTGTGTTAAAAGTAAAGACATGTACTTTATTCATACAAGCTTATGAAAGATATTCTGTAACCAGTTTGCAGTTAAAAGGAAGAGAAAACTCTCATGTTTGACTGTGAATGTAATAGCTGTGTGCACGACCAGTGAAGTCCATGTGAACACATTGAGGAAAGCGTCATCCCAGCAGCCTTCCCTGGGGGTGGCGTGTGGTCACAGGGTCGTCGTCCTCCCACGCGTGACACTGGGACGTGCTCCCGCCTCCTGGTCACTCGAGTGCAGCCTGGTCAGGTTCTCAGTGCGCTGTGGTCCCCGGGTGGAGGGACCAAGTCCGCCCAGGGTCCTCACAGCGTGGCCGAGAGCCAGACCCACTTAGAGAGCTTCCATCTGGGCCATTTCAGCGGAGGCATCTTCTGCCATTATAAGTCATTAATGGGAAAGGAGTCTTTTAAAATAATCATTTTCTTGGTTTTGAACCCAAAGAAAGGAGACTTAACGTTTCTTCCTAAAAGCACTCAAAATGCTTTTCATCTTCTAGTGGTTATAGTCAGAGTAAATTTAATTTAAAGTAAGCAAATTCTAACAAAGCATAAACATTTTAGCCTTCAGAGTAAAATGGCGAGACAGGGAGTGAGTCCTCTGATTGTGTGTCTCAGTGCTGAGAAAAGCAGGGGTGCAGCAGGCGTCCCGCGGGGGTCCTCGCCTCCCCAGCCTCCTCCATGTCGCCCTGATCAGCCCCCACTCCTGGAAGAATCGGTCCCCACATGGCGGGGGCCTCCGGGCAGAGTGCTGAGCTGGCAGTGGCGTTCCAGCCTCTGTCCCTCAGCCTTCATCGGTCATGCAGGTTTTTCATGGGCGCTGACCACGCGAGCAGCCTTGTAATAGGTGGTGCTGGCTCTTACCTTTGTATTCCTGCTGTGTCTGTATTTAAAGCACACCCAGATCCTTCTTTATGTTTTCAAATCTATGTCCTTTCCCCAAAGGGAGTCACCTATGGCCGTGGGACTCTTAAAAGACTGTTCTGAGAGTGGTGTTGGGAGCGTGGCTCCCACAGCCCCACAGGGTGTTTGGGGCGAGCTTGGCTTCTAAGATGAAGGGGGTGGATGTTTTAAACAATCAGCCTAATAGCCTACTTTATTGTATTGACTTTGATGTTTAGTGTGCCGTATTGATTATTGATGCTACTGTATTGATTTTGATGTTCGGTCTGTCTGACATCTGTCCGACTTTCCAGGGTTTATTGTATTATTGATATTACTGTATTGATTTTGATGTTCAGTCTGTCTGACATCTGTCTGACTCTCCAGGGTTCAGGATAAGTTGGAGGTGCTGAATTACACGTCCGTCCCTGTCTTCCTCCCAGAGGTGACCGTCGGCGCCCACCAGAGTGACCGGGTCTTCCAAGAGTTCACAGAGGTAAGGCCGTCGGGCAGCGGGTGTCAGACAGCCTGTGCGGTCAGTTCTGGAGAGCTCTCTGTGGGTCTGTTTCCGTGAGCGAGCTCCGTTTCTGCTGAAATAATTCTCCTCTCCCCGTTCACTGCTGTGTTGCCGTAGCTTCTCGAGCGGCAGGGCGCACGCAGGGCGCCACTCTCCCAGGCAGCCGTCTGAGCCGGCCTGTCATCTGTTCCTCAGTTCTTATCTCTGTCCTTTCCCATCGGCTCTCACTCCTGGCGTCATGGTGCATCCTCCATGAGGAGGGGAGGTCTGCATTTCTGCAGAGGCCTAGGGTGGACGGGCGCCCTCAGGGAGGACGAGGGCAGGCGTGAGAGCCAGGCAGGTCGGCAGGCTTCGTTCAGAGTGGCGTGAAGAATCGTTGAGGCAGGACTGGGTAAACCTGGGGGGCTCTGAAAGCTCTGTGTTGGAACCTGGCCAGCAGTGGTTGCTCCTCTGAGTCACGGATCCAGTGGGGTAGTGAGAACGTCCGCGGCGGCGGTAATTGGTTATCGACAGAGGCGCAGGATGACTGTATTTACATAAGAGCTTCGAGCTGAGCGTTCAGTGCTCCTGTGTGTTAGTTGCTCAGTCCTGTCTGACTCTTCGCAATCCCATGGCCTGTAGCCCACCAGGCTCCTCTGGCCATGCGGTTCTCTGGGCAAGGGCAGTTGGTGCGCAGACGAGTTGACGTCTTAGTTCAGTATTCCCGTGTGACTGTAATGCTCTGACTTGTGCCTGCATTGCAAGCACAGCACTGACTGGGGCCCGAGGACATCCACGCTTTCCTTCTTACTTGAGATTCTTGGTGTTTGCTTTTAAGTAAGTTCTTTGGCGACTTTCGAAGTACCTTTCAGCATAGGTGTCTGGGGAGGACCGTGAAAGTGTAAAGCTGTCGCTCGGGGTCCCTGCAGTTACTTTTTTGGCACGTTTCTTTCCTCCTGATGCGCGCGTCTGTTTCACATCCCCCGTCTGAGGGGAGCTGGCAGGCCCCTCACCACAGCTGCTGCCTCCACACTGCTCTGTCAGGCTGGGGGCCTTGTCCCCGAGTGCTGTCCCTGCCCCTCACGTGGTGACCCAGCGGCCTCGACAAGCCTGGCATCAGGGCTGCCCCCACGTGGTGGCCACTGCCATCCTGCTTGAGCTCATCCTGCCACGTCCAGCTCCGGGGTTCCAGCTCCTGAGGCCAGAAACCTAGAAGTCAGCCGACTGCTTTCTCACTTTCCAGTACAATAGACTGTGACAGAATACAGAAGTTCAGTAGACTCGGCTCCGTCCACAGTCTGACCACCGTTCAGAGCATCGGCGCTGACTGCCCTGGTGCAGACCGGCATGCCTCCCACCCGTGCCCCTTTCAGCCTCCCAGCTAACTGCTCTGCCGCCTGCACCCCGTGCAGTCTGTTCTGTGACCAGAGGCCAGGACGTTCCCACCAGGCACATCGCGCATCCTCTTTCCTCCCTGCATCCTGCAGAGGACAGGCCAAGCCCTCTTGGCAGCCAGGGCCCTCCCTCCCTCCCTCTGCTCCAGCCGCAGGGGCCTCCCTCCTGCCTCGTGAATGTCCCAGGAGCGCTGAGCCTCACTCTGCACCCCTGTGTGGACCTGTGCGGTCCTGCCGCGGCACCCCATCCGCCCACCTCGCCCCTGCGGTCTTTGCTCGCCCGTCGCCTTCTCAGCAGGATCCTCCTGGCCGTGGCCAGGACTTGAACTTTGGCTCCCCCAGCTCACAGCGGCCCTGCCCTGCTCTCTTCTGGGAGTCGGCTTTCTCCACAGCAGTTGCCACCGTCATTTAAGATTCTCCATTTTACCTTCTGTTTATTTTCTGTTTCCCCCCACTCTGATGTTACTGCCTGACTGAGGTCAGGGATTCTTGTCTGTTCACTCACGGCTTTGTTCCCAGGGCCTGGGACAGCTCTGGCTCGTAGTATGCACTCAGTGACCTTTTAGCGGAATAAATCATTGAACTAACGAACAAACAAGGTAAATGCATGAAGGCGCTGGCGCCTGCAGAACCCGAGTGAGCAGAGGCAGTACTCAAGTGCTCCAAGGGCACCTTGCCCATCAGGTCACAGCTGCAGGTCAGGTGCCCTGCCGTTTGGCATTAAAAAAAGGCGGTACCTTTTTTTTTTCACAAATTTATTTGAAAAGGAAACTTTCTGTCAGTAATGTAAGTGAAAAGCCACTGCCAGTTATCATAAACAGTAGGAAGCATAAGGAAAACTAACACAACCCAGCCACGCCACTGAATTCTAAACTGGCAGATGTGGGAAACAGAGGCGCAGCAGCCGCGCCAGCATCGTGGTGACTGCGGGAAGCACTGGGGGTCTCAGAAATTAAAGCTGTGTGGAAAACGGGCATTTACAATTCCCTTGTGAGAAGGGAAATGCATGCTAGCAAAGAATGACAGTTTCGTTTCTTTCTAATCTTTATACCTTTTTTTTAATGTTACTACGTTGGGTGCATCTCTAGTTCATAGTTGGATAGATGTTTTGACAGTGCTCATCCTTCTCTTGTTTCTGATCTCACAGAGAAAGTTCTCAGTAATTCACCAAAGCGTTAAGTTGGCCGGGTTAGTCATAGATTCTCTTTCCCAGATAAGGGAAGTTCCATTTTATTAGTAGTTTCCAAGGAGCTGCTGTTGAGTATGGATGTTGAGTGTTATCACATTTTTGGTCATAGGTGATTTCCTCTTTCTGTTAATATGGTCATAAAAATTACATTGATTGATTTTCTAGTGCAAGGCCAACCTTGATTTCCGGGATAAGTCCTACGTGTGTGCTTTGTCCTCTGCGTGTGTAGCTGAACCTAATTCACGTGTTTAGTTTAGGATTTTTTATTTGTATTCCTGAGAGATGAGATTGTAATTTTTCTTTCTTGTAGTATCCTAGTCACATTTATCAGCAAGATCATGCTGAGATCAAGCACTAAGTTGAGTGGGGGTCCTCATTTTAATTCTCTGGAAGGGTTTGCTCAAGGTTATCATTGCTCCTTGCTACAGCGTTAAGAAGGCTTGATTGGTGGAGCCGTGCGGAAATGTTTCTCATCATAGCTTTCCTTCATAGATGCAGAATATTCAGGATTCTGTTTCTTCTTGGGTTTTCAAAGTTGTGTTTATTAAAGAATTTGCCTCCATTTCATATTTTCTAATTTCTTGGCATGAAGTTATTCATGTGTTTTAAATTAGATCACATTGATCACATTGGTGGTGGCCCCAGACCCCTTCTTCATCCTGTTACTGTCCTGGCGTTTTCCCTCCTTCTATTTCAGACTCTTGAAAGAAGTTCATCATTCAGGGAACCAGCTTCTTGCTTGTACTGCTGTATATTCCATTCACTGATGACTGCTCCTTATTTTTTCCCTTTCATTTGCTGTTTTTCTAACTTCGTAGTATGAGTGGGTGGATTATTGATTTTCAGCCTATCTTGCTTTTGAATATATGCATGTAAACCTGGTCACATTGCCCTCCAAATTTGGCTTAATTAACTGGATCTCATAGTTCTTAATGTTTTGTTTTCATTATCATTCAATTCAAAATATTTTCTAATTTTAATCTGATTTCTTTTTTGGCTATTGTGCTAATTTGAATATTAGATAATTTAAAAACAGTCAGAGTCTTTCTAGTGGTCTTCTTGTTGCTGATTTCTGGCTTAACTCTTCTCTGGTCACAAACAGCCTTGTGATTTCAGTCCTTGGAAGGTGGCTGAGACTGATTTTTCGGCCCAGCATTGGTCACCTTGGCGGCGGTTCATGGTCCTGGAGGAGAAGGCCGTTCTGCCCATCGTGTGCCAGGCTCCTGTAGTGTCCTTGAAAGGAAGTCTGTCAGTCGCGTCATTCAGACGGTCTGTCTCCTCACTGACTTGTTTGCTTCTGCTGTCAGCTTGCCGTGAGAGGTCTGGGGGAGGCTGCCGCTGTCTGTGGGTTTGTTCCTCTAGTTCTGTCAGGTTTTGTTTCGTGTATATCTTGAGGTTGCATTATTAGACTTAGACACATTTAGAATTGCTGCACATTCCTAATAGAGTTACCCTTTTGTTGTTCAATAACTAAGTCATGTCCGACTCTTTGCGACCCCGTTGACTGCAGCACACCAGGCTCCTCTGTCCTCCACTGTCTCCTGGAGCTTGCTCAGACTCATGTCCACTGAGTCAGTGATGCCATCCAACCATCTCATCTTCTATCTCCCCCTTCTCCTGCCCTCAGTCGTTCCCAGCACCAGGGTCTTTTCCAGTGAGTTGGCCCTTCACATCAGGTGGCCAGAGTTTTGGAGCTTCAGCATCACTCCTTTTATGTATGATGAAATTTTCCTTGTGTTGTTGGTGCCGGTTCTTACCTTAAGGATACTTGACTGGTCTATAGTGTCCACAGCTTTCCTTTGGTTAATATTTGCATGGTAGTGCTTTTTCCACATCTTTTAATTTCATTGTTTCTGTATCTTTGTATTTCCAATGGACACCTTCTAACCTGAGAACAGTTTTATCTTTAGTTTTTGCCCAGTCTAACTATGGGGAATATCTATCCATTCACATTTAATGCAATTGCTGATACATTTGTGTTTAAATAGCTTATGTTAACTATATATTTTATATTTTTCTTACCTCTTCTTTGTATTTATTTTTTTTCTTGCATGCTTGTGGATCAAATTTTTTTTTTTTTTACCATTTTTATTCCATTTCCCCTACTGTTTGCTTACTAGTTATGATTTTTTTCAATAGTTTCTTAGTGGCTAACCTGGTGATTACAGTGTTTATTCTTGATTTACTAACTTCTATTGCATCAGTAGTTCTCTAGTTCCACAGTATCAGGCCCCTTGCCCCGGCTCTTGTGTGCTGTTTCTGTCATCTGTCGTCACTGTTTGTATGTAAACCTTCGGACACTGTGGTTATTGTTCGTGTGGTCAGTTCACACACACTGACCCCTGGCTGCCCCGCTGCTGAGGCCTCCCTGGTCTCACACCTTCCTGTAGGTTACAGTCCTTCTGTCTGAGGAAGCT